GTCTCTGTCTCTTGTCTCTGTCTCTCCCCCAACCCCCCCCACACTGCCCGACATCTCCACGCGTGCCCCCCCCCCCCACTGCCCGACATCTTGCCACCTGCGTGCCCCCCCCACCCCCCGCACCGACATCTCCACGCGTGCTGTTCTCTTACTGTCTCTTTCAGTGCCCCCGGCCCCCCCGCCGACATCTCCACGCGTTGCCCCCCCCCCGTCCCGACATCTCCACGCGCGTGCCCCGCCCCCCCTCCCGACATCTCCCCGGTGCCCCCCCCGCCTCGGACATTACCGTGCCCGTGCCCCGCCTCCCCTCCGCCCTGACGCATCTCTACCGCGGTGCCCCCCGCCTGCCCGACATCTCCCCACCGCTTGTGCCCGCCCCGCCCGAATTTCTTCCACCGCGCTGCACCCCCCTGCCGACTTCTACCGCGTGCCCCCCCCCGTCCCGAACATTCCACCGCGTGCACCCCCCCCCCGATCATCTCCATCCGCGTTGCCCCCCCCCACATCATGCAATCGCGTGCCCCCCCCCCACATCTGGCATCGCGTGCTCCCCCCATCTGCACCCGTGCCCCCCCCCCGACATTTCTTCTCCGCGTGCCCCCCGCCCACATATCTGCATCTGCGTGCTCCCCCCCCCCATTGCACGTCGTCCCCCCCCCCCCCCGACATCTCTCCGCGTGCCCCCACTCCCCTCCCCCTCCCCGCCTGCTCCACCGCGTGCGCCGCATGTCTCTCGGCTGGCGAGGAGCTGGTGGTGATGCGACTTCGACTGCGTGCGCCACCTCACCACACCTGACGCCGGCCGAGCGCACGTGGATTAGACGCAGGGCGTGCGGAGCATTCTATACGGCTGCCTAAAACAATACGCGACGGGCGCAAGCTGCTGTTTGCAGAGACGATGCCCTGCAGGTGCCAGCGAGCAAACCAGCCCTGCGCGCCGTGTGCTGAAGATAAACACAGCACATTCGAAACGTAAAGGAGACCGTGAGCGGTACATAGCCGAGCATATAAGCCGAAGAAGTGGGTAGAATACAGTGAAGAGATAGATATACGATGGACGATAACGGAAGAGCAGAAACGCGCGTGCGTGAGTGCATGCGTGCGTGCGTGCCGGCGTGCGTGCGTGTGCGTGTGCGCGCGCGTGTGTGTGTGTGCGTGTGTGTGTGTGTGTGTGCGTGCGTGCGTGCGTGCGTGCGTGCGTGCGTGCGTGCGTGCGTGCGTGCGTGCTTTCTCTTTCTCTGGCACTCTCTCTCTTTTCTCTCTTTCTTTCTCACACACACACACACACACACACACACACACACACACACACACACACACACACACACACTCACTCACTCACTCACTCACCTAACTATCTTCTCTCTCTCTCTCTTTCTCCCCCCTTTATTCCTCTCCTTTGAGGGACGGACCGGCTGGCAACCTAACTAAACGCTCGCTACATGCCGCTAATGAAAGCAGCGGAGAGCAAATGACAACAAAACGCTACTCTTCTGCCACGGCGGGCAGACTGTGTATATTGTATTTGCTGGGTGTGCGTGCGTGCGTGTGTTGTATGTCCGGGGCGAGGGTGTAGAAGAGGATTAGGCACGACAAGCAGGCTATTTATGTAAATAGTCTGTATTATACAGAGAGCGGTTCTATAGAACAGGACATTTCTTATGACTTTGCATGACACTCGTCACAAATCTGCACGATCCCAATTTACACATGAATCAGTGGTGCTAAACTAACGGGTCACGTGATAAATCGGCGGTGTATAATTGAAACAACACAACAACGAAAACAAAAACAACAAAAACAGAAAGCAGAGAGAGATTATGTATGCTTTCTAGACACCTATAAGATCAAATAATACTTGTATTGCTGATTATTGTCACACTTAAAATAGAAAACCCCAGCTCGATTTAATATATGCAGCAGTGACCTAGCGCACAGGTTTACTAAGTATGACCTGTCACATGCAGATGCATAGTTGGTGTTTAGTAGCACATGGCACGCCTACATGGCTGAGTCCCTCTATATAAAGGAACTCTAATTTCGCATGAGTCATGGACATGACCAGTAGGTAGCCAGCGGGCAAGGTGTCAGACGTGCAGCAGTGGAATGTGATTGCACGTCACACCCGGCGCGTTGTCCCCCACACGGCAGAATCTATTTGTTAGAAATCTAATAACAGTGCATGGGGACATCGAAAGCCATAGAGAGGTCTGCAGTGGTAGTAGCACACACCCTTTAGACCGTAGAGAGATGTTTTCATGGGCTCTAGTTGTACAGACAAATGCGATTGTCAGAAATTTACTAGCGAATACGTGACCGGGACCGACCGAGCTGCCCCCGGGCGGCGATGTTAGAAAATTGTTTGCCAGGCGCTGGCGTGTGTATGCACTGTAGTGTACACCCGCTGCTGTGACAGCGGCAATCTGTGCTGAGCGGGTGCGGTTTGTACGACGGTTGACGGGAGCGGGGACAGGTTTTTTTTATCCCCGAGTCTTGGTACACACCGGTTTGTTTCGTGCGCTCGCTCCCACACGCCCTCTAATAAAACATCATCTACTTAGCGACTCGTTGCTAGCTATCTACCTGCCCTGCGGCGTACTCAGGTAGCAACGAAAGCTCTCGAAACATCTTGAAACCATTAGGACGAACCCCCCTGCCCACTGATATAACTCCTTTTATACCATATTTTACCAGGCAACATGTTTTCAATATACACTATATTCGGTTAGTATCGTCGGACACCCTGCGGCCGCTGACATAAATAGTGTAGTTTGGGACAAAAGTTGGGAACTGTGACCAAATATAGCGACAAATTTTTCTGACAACGGTTTAGCACAAAATATTATGTTTTGTTAAAGGGTAGTTTTGATAACAATTCTACATCATTTTCACATCTTCATTCGCACCTGCAATGATAAGTATATGGTGCAATGTAAAGCATATCTGCGTAAAAGTAAAATGGTGGCGAAAACGGCATGCGATGAACTTTTCTCGCGAAGGTGCGGATACCACATTTAAAATATCAGGAACATTTTCAGGGTATATATATATATATATATATCAAGATACATATATAGCGATGTGCGTTCCCCTTCGGAATCGCCGTGAATGAACATTGACATCACTGTTGGCTGACTGCCAGACGGTGCGTTCGTTTCTCCGTGTGTGCGCCGGTCATTTAATAGAACGCGCCGGTGAAAGTGTTTTGCCTCGAGGGAAGCGTGCGGTTTTGTAGAGCAGGAATTTCGCTTTCATCTGTCTCGTAAAGCTGCGCAGTAGCTGATGTAACAGCGCCACCTGCCGGGTTACTTCGCGTTACTTGGCCCCGTTACATATTACGTAGACTATTGATTTGTTGCTAAGTATTGATTGATTGCCCATTCTAATAATGATATCATGTAATATAACTGCACTCGCCAGTGCATATTATTATTTTTTACATGGGTTGCTCTTATAAACCGATAAAAATTAATAGAGTTGATCTATCTAAGGTAATTGATTTTAACCAATAGCTTTTCGGTTGTTGTTTGCAGGTTTTTTTAGAAGAAGTATCACGAAGAACGCAGAGTACGAGTGTAAATATGGCGGACAGTGCGAGATGGACATGTACATGCGTCGAAAGTGCCAGTTCTGTCGGTTACGCAAGTGCAAGGCTGTCGGCATGCGACCAGAATGTAAGTCATCGCACTGCACCACGTTTGTCTGCTGCCGTCACTCCCGTATATAACCCTCAGTTCCCATTTCCTTGCCTGTGTAGTGTGTCGGAAATGAGAATACCATGATGTTAGGGAGTCAGATAGGAAATAAACTAATTAGAAACTACGTAGCCAATTGAAGTAATAATTGTTCGTTGCTCTGTTACGCTAGCCTAACCATGAATCCCTGCTTCCCTGGTTGCTCGGTTACACTAGCTTATCCACGATGAATACCTGCTGCCTCGTTGCTCTGTTACGCTAGCTTAACCTCACACGCACACACAACAACAGCACCAACATAAACATCAGTGATCACTTGTTCCTGCACGCGGACGCTCGCGCGGAATTCTCGAAAGAACTATTGCGCAAGAAGATGACTTCTCCGTGTCGCAATAACAATTGAACCACGTGCGGACACGTCATCGGCATGGACAATGACCCGACCCGAGAACGCGTCCGGTTGATGCGTTTTTTGTTCTGCTGATGGTCGTAAGACAATTGCCCCCCCCCCTTCTCCGACTCCTCCACCCCTCCTGCGCGCGCTTGCGTTAGAGGGGAGGGTGGACCTGGCACCCGGGCACCCCCGCCCCAATAGTGCAGCGACCGCGATCCGGATTCCTGTGCGGAGAGGCACGCATTGTGTGCCGCCCGGCTGCTGCCATGTTAGTGGTGCGTGCATGTCATCGCCCCACAGCCGACGCCATTTTGGGCCAAGGACGGACACTTTCACTCGCGCGCGCGGCGCTATTCATCCGGAGCGCACTTTCACTATTGGCGTCTCTCTCCGCGGTTCTCTCTGTACACGTCTATACATGCGCCGCCGAGGACAGACAGGCATAAGTTCGTGCGCGCATCTAGGGCATCGCACTCTCTTGCGGACGTAGCTGGGTTTGTCGTGCGCGCATATCGTCGCGGACCTTGTAGCTCGCAAGATTTCTCTCGTTTTGTGTGTCAGTCTCGCAGTGGCGCACGAAGCGTGGGAGAATCGTACGGACGGTGGCGTGTATACGTGTGTGACCCCTTGGCGTCGCATATATCCGCATCGGACAGTGCTGCAACAGCCGTGGATAGACTGAGGCTATATAGTGATTCCGCTCGCTTTAGGACTTGATATCGTCGTCGGCTGTAATCGTGTGAGGCTGGGTGGATGTACACGCGCACGACGAAGAAGTTTACATACAGCTAGAGATTTCCTCGCCAAGAGTGACGACGCCTTTAAACGCATTTGCCACTCAAGTCGCTGACTAGTCGAGAGAGAGAGAGAGAGAGAGGGGGGAGATAGATAGAGAGACCTTGATCGTGTGATCATCACCTTTTTTATGATCGCGGGATGACTTGCAGTCTGTGCTGCTGCTGCTGCCGAGGTTACTGTGTTATGCGCTGACGAGGCATGCCTCGTGAAGATATCATCCGCGAGAGATCGTGATCGGAGGCAAATCCTGAGATACTTGAGGATAACGCAATACTTGAGAGAGAGAGAGAGAGAGAGAGAGTTGCTCGAAGAAGATGTCTCTGTCGGATGTAGATAGTCTTTCAGCAGGCTCGCCAGCGAGCACGGTTAGCCACATGAGTATGGGCAGCCCCCTAGGTGAGTTGTTACATGTATGGTTACATGAGTATGGGCAGCCCCCTGGTTAGCTTATCCACGATGAATACCTGCTGCCTCGTTGCTCTGTTACGCTAGCTTAACCATGAATCCCTGCTTCCCTGGTTGCTCGGTTACACTAGCTCTCTCCACGATGAATCCCTGCTGCCTCGTTACTTAGCTACGCTGACGTTCTCGCGTGTGCATCGCAGGTCTCGTGCAGGAGCCCGCGCGCAAGACGACGGGCAAGAAGAAGGACAACATGAAGCAGATCAGCACGACGTCGTCGCCCAAGGACAGCAGCAAGGAGGACGACGGCAACAGCAACAGCAGCACGCTGAGCAGCGGCGGCGGTGGCGGCGGAGGCAGCAGCGCCGTCATGACGATGAAGCTGCCAGCGGGGCTGAGCCCCGAGCAGCGCGAGCTCATCGAGACGCTCGTGCTCTACCAGGACCAGTTCGAGCTGCCGGACGAGCAGGAGGTCCGCAAAGTGACGGTGAGTGCAGGACGCGTGCGTCGGTGTGGGTGGGGGAGGCTTACAACCCGCCAGGCTATGGGATCTTTGTCGAGCTGCGGAGGTACCAGGCAAGCAGTAGGTTCGAAAGTGACGGTGAGGGAGTGGCTGTCTAGGTGGTGTGTCGGTGCGGTGAGAGTGAGCGGAAGGTCACGTCCGTTCCAGACCGATTGCGAGTGGCTGCCAGGTGGCGGCTCAGTATATGGTGAAACGCTGAGGGGCATGTCTGTCTGTAGGTGATAGTGAGTGGGCGCATCTCACTCACTAGGTGGCGTCACGGAGCGCGGAAAGTCTATTCGGAGGAAGATGGACGTTCTCATCATTTAATGCCCATGTGGCTGCGTTGTCAATGGCTGTGTGTTCGGGGATCATTTTGGGGGATTTCGGAATGATTGGAGTGCTAATTTGCTGCACATTCTTTCGTTGTCGCGCCTTCGTTAGTGACCGATGCACTGATTTGCTGCGTGTTCTCTGCGTTGTAGGAGTTCCCCACCGATGAGAACGACCCGGAGTTTGTGACGAAGCGTTTCGCGCACATCACCGAGTGGACGATCCTCACCGTGCGGCTCATCGTAGAGTTCACCAAGCGATTACCTGGATTCGAAACACTATGCAAAGAAGACCAGATAACTTTACTGAAGGTGAGTCTTGCGATCGATGTTCATGTGGGAGCAACGCCGACATATTTTCCGTCTTCGACTGGTTCGATAAAGTAATGCACGCAGAGGCAGTAATTACTAAGATGGAAACGGATTTCTAGCAGAAAACGAAAGCTAACGTAAATGAAGTTTGGAATAGTCCTGATGCTGCAGAGTACTAGTTACTACGAACAACTCAACGTATACAAACCACACTCGTTACAAGCTAAGTACTTTGCCGATGTCGGCGTGACCCATTGAGCAGATGTCGTCACCCGAAATCGTTTTGATGCCCGGTAATCGATTGTTCCCCCCCCCCGTACATCTCTCAGGATGTCAACAATATCAACACTTGTTATTTGTCGCACCCCGCGCAGGCCTCCGCTGTAGAGGTGATATTGCTACGGTCGGCGCGTCGCTACGACATTGAGACGGACGCGGTCGTGTTTGGAAATGGCCTGCCCTACACGAGGGATAGCTACCGCAAGGCCGGCATCGGCGACACGGCGGACAGCATCTTCGAGTTCAGCCGCAGCATGGCGCAGATGAAGGTCGACAACGCCGAGTACGCTCTCCTCACTGCCATCGTCATCTTCTCAGGTATGCACTGGGGTAGAGGGAGGAGGAGGAGGAGGGGAGAGGGAGGAGGTAGGGAGAAGGAGAGGGAGGGTAGGTGGTGGAGAGAAGGTAGAGAGGTCGACAACGCCGAGTACGTGCTCCTCACTGCCATCGTCATCTTCTCAGGTATGCGCTGGGGGAGAGGAGGAGGAGGAGGAGGAGGAGGGGGAGGAGGAGGGGAGAGGGAGGAGGTAGGGAGAAGGAGAGGGAGGGTAGGTGGTGTAGAGAAGGTAGAGAGGTCGACAACGCCGAGTACGCGCTCCTCACGGCCATCGTCATCTTCTCAGCTATGCGCCCGGTCGGCATCGCTCTGTGATTACCCGTGGCAGCCTGGAGCACATGGCATGCTTGGCGCTCGCGTCGACTGCGTCCGCTGCTATTTTGTGTCAGCTGCTAGCTTGCGTTGGCTGCTATCGCATGTCAGCTTCTTCCGTGAAACCCTTTGTCACATCCTCTCCCTGAACCTCTTCACGACATCGCATCTCAGTGCAGCCTCTTCTCAACGTACCCCTCCCCGCCACGATTCCCTCCGTCGCAGCAATATCTAACTCGCCCGCATCCGTCTCTCTACGTTGCAGAGCGGCCGAGCCTCGTCGAGTCGAGGAAGGTCGAGAAGATTCAGGAGATCTACATCGACGCGCTGCGCACGTACACGCAGCTGATGCGACCGGCCGGCACCAACGTGCTGGCGCGCCTCCTCATGAAGCTCACCGAGCTGCGCAGCTTCTCCAACGAGCACTCGGAGATGCTCTTCTCGCTGAAGTTGCGCAACCACAAGCTACCGCCGCTGCTTGCCGAGATCTGGGACGTGCCGACAGCGAACCAGGTGTGAGCGGCGAACCAGGTGTGAGCGGCGAACCAGGTGTGAGCGGCGAACCGGGGAGAACGGCGGGCGAGCGCCCCGTGCGGGTGAGAAGGCCGTCGGGAGAGAAGGTCGCTGAGAGAGAAGGTCGCCGGGAGAGAAGGTCGCCGAGAGAGAAGGCGCAGCCAGGAGAGAAGGCAGCCGGGGAAAAAGGCCGCGAGGCGAGACCGCGGAGAGACGGCGGAGACAGCGCACTGCCCCCTGCTGGCGAGGATCGCGGACTGTTGGTCGCGTGAACGGCGAATGCGCGCGCGTGCGCTACGTGGCGCGTTCACGTGTGCACGCGCTTTATTTTCCTTGTTCGATCTTCCTGTACAAATTGATGAGGTCGGGAGACGGCTGTAGAAATGCTTATTGTATGTAGTCATGTTCGTGACACCCGTATATCGTCATTCATAGAGGTCACATCGTAACATTTTCATCATCATCGCGTCGTCTGTGAGCAACCGTCACGTACACGCGCGCGCACACACACATGCATGTCATACATGCATTTCATACAGGCACGCACACGCGCGCGCGCTGTTACATGAGTATGGGCAGCCCCCTGGGTGAGTTGTTACCTGTATGGTTACATGAGTATGGGCAGCCCCCTGGTGAGTTATTGTCGGTAGTTAGTTACATGAACATGGGCAGTCCCTTTAGTGCGTTATTACCTGTGTACCTGTAGTTAGCCACGTGAGTATGGGCAACCCCATAATTGAGTTGTTACCTGTGTAGCTACATGCGCACCCTACATGAGCATGTGCAGCCAACCCCTATGCGAGTTATAGCTCTATACTGGAGGAGTAGGGCTAGGATGGGTTGTCGGGTCAACCCACTCTGAGATCCTCTTACATACATGCTAAGAGGAGCGTATTAAGAAGCTTCTTAATACGCTCTTGATGCTAAGGATTAGGTTAGTGTTAGGTTAGGGTTGGGATAGGTTAAGTTGGGTTGGGGTTGCGTTAGAGTTCCGGTTAGGTTAGGGTTATCACTTATGGTTAATATAGAATTAAGTTGGGTTGGGGTTAGGTTAGGTTAGGGTTACGTTAGTTTAGGGTTAGGTTAGTTTAGATCAAGGTTAAGTTGGGTTAGGGATCGGTTAAGGTTAGGTTAGGTAAGATTAGGGTCAGGTTAGGATTAGTTTAGGTCAAGGTTATGTTACGTTTGTTTAGGTTAATGTTATGTGAAGGTTAGGTTAAGGTTAGGGTAGGGTTAGTTTAGCGTTACGGCGATGATCAGATGTAGGTGTATCATGTATGCATGTAAAAGCGTCCTGAAATCGACTCGATCAGCGGTGGTCGACCACCTTTGGTCTGGCTGTACGGTCAGAGCGCGTCAGACGATTGTTTGCGAAGCGATGTTTAAAGCGTACACAACCGTAACTAAACACGCTGCCTACTTGACACGCATGTGGAGTGTGTGGTACTCGTGTCGTTTATGTGCACAATGTTGTGCGTAGATTTAGTATGTCACAGTGCGTCGGACACTACAATAGCACTTATACCACCGATGCCAGTGCTGCCCACTCATGTTCCCAACATATCAATGAACGCTACTCGTAGGGATTCGAATATGAAGAATTGAACGATGTACATGTAGTCTACAGAAATGTTTCACTATGCATTCAGTGAAGGTGCTTATCCAATGTTTTAGCTTGGGGATTGTTATTAATGTGTTGCATTAAATGACATGCTATGTTTTGTTTAATGCACTAATCATTTCCAATATTATTTCATCGCTTGCATTGATGCCAATGTTCTTTATTTAGCGTGGGAAATAAGTCCAAATGTCTTGTATCTATCATGAACATGAATTTTAATGTCTCTGCTTATTGTTGTAAAATGAATTCCAATGCCTTTTGTGTTCACCATGGTTCATCGTCGAATATATTTCACGCGTATCGCTGCACGTACGCACTGCACGCCAAACGTACCGAAGAAGTTGCGTTTGTAGTGAGAAATTCATTTCGTTTACGGCATACTAACGTATTCAGTTTCGTTCTGTGCATGTAACTCATCGTCTGCTTGCGTCTTCTTGCAGCGATGGACGCCGACGTCAGCTCGTCCAACCTCAGTCCGCAGTCGATGGCCATGTACGGCTACGACCAGATGCGAAGAAAGAAGGTTCCGGGACTGACGCGACCGCAGGAGGAGCTGTGCCTCGTGTGTGGGGACCGAGCATCGGGATATCACTACAACGCACTCACCTGCGAGGGCTGTAAAGGTAAGCAGTGCAGATTATCACGGGCCAGAGACTCTCCCAGGATGCTTCTCTGTCTCTATCTATCTATCCATTCATTTATCTATCTATCTTTCTCTCTCTCTCTCTCTCTCTCTCTCTCTCTCTCTCTCTCTCTCTCTTTCTCTCTCTCT